GTATACATTTCATTAGTATACACTGTATATGTGCATATCCTTGATATTCAACTTGTTATGAGTTCATAGACACCAAAAACAGCAGATGTCTTATTAAACTACATATTCATAATCATGTTTGAGCACATGGGACTCTGTTATTTCCCCGTCAAATAGAATGGAATATGTAAAACAAACAGAAGTGCCATTTCCCAAAGAGTAAATGTTGCATGATGAGAAGAACTCACTTCAGCTGCGGCTCCAAACGAGGGAAATATCTGTGATTTCTGGATATTAAGTGCCTCCCTTCGAGACCCAAATACATGATGTATAATTTGAGTATTGCGCGGCGCTACCAGCTTCTGAGATGCTTCTTGTAAACGGCTCATCTGAGAGAAGCACGTAGAAATAAATCACAGCTACACAGGTTTTACTGCGTGCAGGAAAACAACCTCAACCTACGAAACACACAATATACAACACAGAGGGAGAGAGAGAGCTATTGACGACCAGACTGTGACCCTGCATGACTCTGAAACACTCAGTATGCTTCAGGACTAAAACTGTCCATTAGACATGGAGAAATTTAGACATTTAAATTCCCTGCAGCACTCTGTGAATATGTCGCTTCATATAAAGGCCTAACAATATAAAGTCAGCTCTACATGAGGCTTTCATTTAGGGAGGGTTGCAAAGAAAGCTGGCTAGATTTCGAGCTAAATTGGAATAAATAACGCAGGTCTACACGGAGTTAGTCTTTAAAACACTCTGTTGGAGGAAGTTTAACCCTGTCTGTTGTTGGAAACTCACCTACAATGTTGTATGGTCTTATTTGAACAAAGTGGTCACATGACTCCTGATGTTACTGCAGATCTGCTGTAAGCTAGCTAGCTAACGTAGCTAACCTAGTCATTTCAGATACACTGACAAACACGTAGAGTTCTGAGACAGACTCTCTGAACGTCACCAAGCTGTCCCAGCTGTGTGCGTCACTCTTTAGTGTCCCCTGGTCTCCCAGCTGTGTGCATCACTCTTTAGTGTCCCCTGGTCTCCCAGCTGTGTGCGTCACTCTTTATTGTCCCCTGTTCTCCCAGCTGTGTGCGTCACTCTTTAGTGTCCCCTGGTCTCCAGCTGTGTGCGTCACTCTTTATTGTCCCCTGTTCTCTCAGCTGTGTGTTTCACTCTTTATTGTCCCCTGGTCTCCCAGCTGTGTGCGTCACTCTTTATTGTCCCCTGTTCTCCCTGCTGTGTTTGTCACTCTTTAGTGTCCCCTGGTCTCCCAGATGTGTGCGTCGCTTTTTAGCGTCCCCTGGTCTCCTAGCTGTGTGCGTCACTCTTTATTGTCCCCTGGTCTCCAAGCTGTGTGCGTCACTCTTTAGTGTCCCCTGGTCTCTCAGCTGTGTGCGTCACTCTTTAGCGTCCCCTGGTCTCCCAGCTGTGTGCGTCACTCTTTAGTGTCCCCTGGTCTCCCAGCTGTGTGCGTCGCTTTTTAGCGTCCCCTGGTCTCCCAGCTGTGTGCGTCACTCTTTAGTGTCCCCGGGGGCCCAGTCCAATAGTCCATTTAGCTTAGGAACCTTCCTAACCAAGTGAAATGACCCGGAAGTACGTCACTGGCAGCCATGATAAGTGCCGTTCCAATTCTCCAAATGAAAGGAAAGGAGGTTTCAAGCTTCCTTTATAACCTCCTTTAGCTTAGGAACCACTGGACCTCCCTAGCCGAAAGGAGAGGAGAAAATGCTGCCCCACAATGCATTGCAGCCGCAGCATCTGCCGTCACACAACAGTCGGCCGTTCACGGACACAAACGATAATGGGAGAAATGATATCATGAAAGTTACGGTGCTTATTAAGCATTTTAAAACGTATGTGGTAAGTTGCCCAGCTGTGTGCGTCACTCTTTAGCGTCCCCTGGGCTGCTTCTCAGGTCGATTAAATGAAATCCTTGCTTCCCTCACTTGCGTCGTTTCCCTGCGTTTAGTCCCTCCCACCAGGGAAGCATGGAGGGACGCAAGGAAACCACGAGAAGCAGGGAAATAAGTTTTAAGAGCAATGGGACGTCCTTTCCTCCGGAGCGTCACGTGAAGCGACGTCCGTTTGTGATGACGCTGCACAGCTGATCGTCTGACAGCAGCTCTGTCCCCGTTATTTCCACACACCCCCCGCCTCTGTTAGTGCACATTTACTGACACAAACATTTGTATCATCTGTTGTAGACCCCAATAAATAAAATAAAATAAGAACTAATTCTCAAAAAAGATAAACGCCATTCTTAAAATTTATAAACGAACAATAGTTTGATTAATATTGATTAGAGTGCACAATAGAAATAAAATAATTGAGAGAAGAAAAAGAGATATGTTATCTATCAAAACCCAGTTAGATTAACATTCATTGGATTGCACACTTTGTTTGTTTGTTTGGATATGTAGTAAATTAACATTTTAATAGCACTTAATGACTGACTGAATGGAAATGACAATAAATGAAAATGTAAAACGAAAAAAGCGATCATGAAAATGTTTCCAAAAAAGGAATAAAATTATTTTTGACCACTTTGTTGTTCAGATATATCACATATTTGTAACTAAATGAAACATGAATTGAAACAAAACACGGTATAAACTGAGGAGTGACTCCCGTGAGGTTCATGTATTTTCTTCACTCTGCTCTCATGTCAAGAAGCATCAGATCAGTGCATGCACTGCCTCGTCCAATCAGTGAGCGATATACAGTAAGGGGGCGGGGTGAGTATCTGAGGATTTCATCGGAGGATGGTCTGGTGGTTCCTCGGTTATCGCTCCTCCATGATCGCTCCTCGCTCCTCGATCCTCGCTCCTCCGGCAGAAATAAGAGCCATGGGACGGTACTCAAGATGGCGCAGGCAAATCAACTTCCGGTGAGACCGAGGACCGAGGAGCGAGGAAATGAAAATAGTCGACCTGAGAAGCAGCCCTGGTCTCCCAGCTGTGTGCGTCACTTTTTAGTGTCTGGAGTTATATTTACGCACTGACGTCAACGTGGAATCAAGCTTTTTTTTAAAACGGATTCTTCAAAAGCTTATCGTTGTTCCTATGTTATGATTTACTGACTTTAAGGATGGAGTCTGAACCAGTGGAGTTGCATCGGGGAAAAGTCGATTCATGTTTTTATTTCTATGTGTTTCCATGTGTTCATCCAGGACCACATGGGGAATAACTGTCCTTAGTAATGCTCCTCAGTAAGAATCTCCTCATGGATTTGTCGGTCGTGATATTCTTCTGACTTGCTTTAAAATGCCGAAATTACTCTCAATGGCTTTTTTGTGTTCGTGTTTTTATGTCTTGAAATGTTTTGCACCTGCTGAACCGTCTTCATCTATAGCTGTAGCAGCAGAATTATAATTAAATGGTGTTCCATTCAAATGTAATTGCTCTTTTTAGCCTGTTCTATCCGCCTGCTTTCAGTAACTCCCCCGTGATGCGCCATCAATTTATTCTCTGAGAAGCCTCCGTGCTTTCTGCAGCGCTCGCTCATTTTACACCAAACACAAACAACATCCTCCTTAGTAATTAACGGCGTTCATAAAGTAAGTACATTTACTCAAGTACTGTACTCACAATTTTGAGGTAATTGTACTTCTACTCCCCTACATGTATTTAATCCCTTGAGTGACTTCACAGATGTGGATGAATGATGTGAAATATAACCAAGTGTTGAATCAGACTTTAGTTCCACCTGGAGTAAATCCACAAGCTACCCTGCAGTATACGAAGTCATTCAGACTAGCTGCACCTTTACCAGCTTTGAGAACACTTTCATGATCAATCATTATAAAACATATCATATATATTATTCTGAAATGGACCAATCTGCACAACGACTACTTTTACTGTCGCTACTTTCACTATATTTTGATGAGAATACTTTTCTACTTTTATTTGAGGAACATTTTGAATGCAGGACTTTTACTGTGACAGAGTATTCCTACACTCTGGTACTTCTACTTTTACTCAAGTACAACATCTGAGTACTTCTACTTTTACTCAAGTGCAAGATCTGAGTACTTCTGCTTTTACTCAAGTACAAGATCTGAGTACTTCTACTTTTACTCAAGTGCAAGATCTGAGTACTTCTACTTTTACTCAAGTACAAGATCTGAGTACTTCTACTTTTACTCAAGTACAAGATCTGAGTACTTCTACTTTTACTCAAGTACAAGATCTGAGTACTTCTACTTTTACTCAAGTACAAGATCTGAGTACTTCTGCTTTTACTCAAGTACAAGATCTGAGTACTTCTACTTTTACTCAAGTGCAAGATCTGAGTACTTCTACTTTTACTCAAGTACAAGATCTGAGTACTTCTACTTTTACTCAATACAAGATCTGAGTACTTCTACTTTTACTCAAGTGCAAGATCTGAGTACTTCTACTTTTACTCAAGTACAAGATCTGAGTACTTCTACTTTTACTCAAGTACAAGATCTGAGTACTTCTACTTTTACTCAAGAACAAGATCTGAGTACTTGAAGTACCTCTGACTCTGGTGGAAATATTTCATAGAAATTCAAGTCAAGAGATTTTCTTTGAATATTGAACAAGCTTTCCTGCGCAGAATAGGATCCAAACATTACAGAGTCACATGTTCATGACAAGAGTGTGAAAGTCTGAATGAAGAGTGTGTGTGAAGAGTGTGTGAGGGTGAACAAGGAGACGTTGAAACACCTGCGTCTTTGAGAGTGCTATCCAGTGCAAACACAACTCCCTATCTGATAACACAGAGCTACAGTTCGCTGTATATTACAATATAATGTTGTATATAATAATAATAAACTGGATTTATATAGCTCCTTTTATGCTTGACGCAGCCCAACGTGCTTTACAGAGAATGACAGAAAATGACCAAATGAGGAACATCATTCAAAACAAGGTATAACCAAACAGTTCTATCACTGAACCACAAAACAATGAAACATGAACAGTGACACGACTTAAACATCTCTCTATTGCAGTACATCGTGTAATATTAAACATCACACTCACATCTTCTTGAAGTCGAGCAGGCTGTACTCGGGCCAGTCGATGTAGCAGACCACGCGGTCGGGCAGCTGGTCCGTGTTAGAGTAGTAATACTGAGGGAGGGCCAGCAGCAGAGCGAGGACCCAGATCACCCCCACCACCACCTTGGTCTCCGTGGAGGACATGCGCTGCTGCAGGGGGTGGATGATGGCCATGTACCTGCAGGGGGGGGGGGGGTGGGATTAGTGAAAGGGTCTTGAAGGTAATGGACGGGTGGCGCAGTGGTCTGTGCATCTGATCGTCAGATCAAGGGGGGTGCTGGGGAACTCCAGTTCGAAACCCGCTCCTGCCGCCACTGCGTCAGGCCGCTGTGTCCTTGGGCAAGACACTTCACCCGGATTTGCTCCTGTGGGTATTGTCCACAGTACATGTATGATACTAATGTGTACTTGTAAAAGCGCCTCGATGACTTCGAGGCGTGAAGATGGACGGTGTGGCGCAGTGCGCTGTGATCATCAGATCAAGGGGTGAAACCCGCCGCTGCTGCTTCTGTAAAGCCGGTGTGTCCTTGGGCAAGACACTTCACCTGAACTTGCTCCTGTGGGTATTGTCCACAGTACATGACCATTGCATGTATGATATGTGTAATGTGTATTTGTAAAGCGCTTTGAGCATCTGGAAAAGCGCTATAATAAATGTAAGGAATTATTATTATTATTATTATTATTAATGGATACGGAGCGTAATGGGTCAGGGGGCTTCCACTCAAAGAGACATCAACCAGGAAGATTCAAGATTTCAAGATTCAAATGTTGTATCGTCACAAAGCTACCGTGTGAATGAAGTTCTTCTGACCTGAGCTCCTAAAACGCAACATTTATAATGAAATACAAATAAAAAATAGAGCAAGAAGTCTATATTCACGTATTAAATACGGTTTATTGTGGTGATAACTATTTAGATAAATAAGTCGATTGCAAGATGACGTGTTTATCGCTGGCCTGTGGGATGAACCCTGTCCCTGAGTCTGGGGGGTTTTGTCCTGATGCTGCGATACAGCTGGGGTGATGAGACTCAACATGTCCTTAAAGACAATTTAAACAACTGCAAAGAGACATAACATGGCAAAAACATCTGAACAATTACCCAACATGATTATAAAGAGACACGAAGATCTGTCCAACAACATCAAGACTCTGACAAAGACTGTTGGAAAAAGCAGAACTTAAATTCAGACAAGACTAATCACAAGAACAAGACTCAGGTGGGGAGGGAAGAGGTGAACAGAGTCGAGTACACATGCTGCAGAGCCACTATTTCAAGTGTACTTCGTCATCGAGTGGCGCCGGAGGACTCTTTGAATGCATGTTAAATGCCCAGCATTCGGCGCCACTCGATGACTTCTTAACATGTGGGTTCATTGATCATTGTATGCCTCCTATATGGATGTCTTATTGTTTTGTCAAGCACTTTGTGATTTGTCTGTGAAAAGCGCTTTATAAATAAACTTGACTTACTTACTTACGTAGTACACTTGAAATAGTGGCTCTGCAGCATGTGTACTCCACATTGAGAAACGGCCACAGTCAGGTAATCAAACAGACAGGAAGTGACAACAGACATATCACAGGGGGGGTCTTGAACAAAGACAGATCGTGACATGACAAAAGGACAGAGGTGACTATAAAGAGTCTACAATTGACTTCAGAGACATTTAAATGACAAAATAAATACAAAGACTAATGAAGACGTAATACAAAGAGACATGAAATGACTGCAATGTGACTCAAGCTATAGATCCAGTGTCCTCTGATTGTGTTACGTTATTATGAGTGCTCTCATACTTGTTAGTGAAATGAGAAACCTTCCACATGTTGAGGTGAAGACAAACACATTGTTGTTAGCCTCTGTTTCCCTGTTGTTGCTCTTTAGTTGATGCTAAGCTAATTGAAGCCAACTCCAGTCGTTCTTACCAAAATGTTGAAGCGTTTGTTATGGAGTGAACTTAAACACATGGTAATGTCATGTGAGGAGGAAGAGGAGAGGAGGAAGAGCTACAGATGGAGGATTCGTTGTTCACAAGTCAGTATGTACCTACATGTAAAGTGTGAAAAGCGTCATACACTGGAAAAAGATCTTCACACCTGCGGTAAACACACACACACTCTCACACTCTCACACTCTCGCCCACACACACACACACACTCTCACCCACACACACACACACACACATCTGAAAACATTTCAATTAAATCTACTTCTTAGGTTGCATTAAGCATCCATAAAGGTGTGCTCTCGGGAGTGAAAGAGACAATGGAGGAACATTGCAAAGAGTGATATAGCGCAGTGTTCTAATCAGAGAGAGAGCATGAAGAACTGATTGCGACCCGAACGTCATTTCATTCAATTGGTTTCCTGACATTGGCTCAGAGGAGAGAAATGATGGTTCTTCACCACCTCGGGTCTTTTTATTTGTACCCTCTGAAAATAAGTTTTTGTTAATAATTTAGTTTTAGGGAGAACGGGTGGGATTCAATTAGTGTACACTTCTTCCCACCCCTTTTCTACGGAGCCCCCTAGGGGACATGGAGAAGAAAACTCAATTATTTGAACAAAAAAAAAAAATCGCAAAACCCCGTTGCAGTTAGACGGTCCCTAAGCACTCCTCTCCCTCCTCAAGCTGCAGATTGTGACCAATGCTTGATGTTTAGCTCGGATGACGGCGCGTATTGATCTGTTCTGATAAAAACGACTCTGTAGCTCGTTGTCTACCTTGCTATGATTGTAAAGTCATGTTGTTTGTATTTTTACAACGTTATGTTCATGAGTTATTGATCCGCGAAATTCTAATCTGTCAATCACTCAGCTCAGAGGGATGTGCATGTCCCCTCGCTCTGAGTGTTCTCTTGAGGTGTCTTCACTTATGTGAAACCCTTTATATATACAGTGTGTGAAACCCGTGCCTATTGCCAAGCACTGATGTTATATCTTTATATTTAAGGCCAAGCTCAAAGTAAAATCGATGAACCGCTCCATTGTTGTGGTTTCTGTGTAGCCGAAGCAGCCGAACTGAGCAGGAAGTACATTGAGCTAAATGAGAAGTATTGCCAGATCTCGCAAATGTTTTGCGATATCTTGTTTGTGCAGATCCGAAAGTTGAGTTATGTGCTAAAGTGCGTTAGCACTCTTTTGCTCAGTCAGAGGCTCGGCGTTACACTTCGGTAAAAATGTTTTAAAAATGGTTCAAATCTTCTGATAGCTGAGTGTCTTCCCGTTAAGTGGGTATGACACATTCATAGGTTGTTAAATGTTAAGAAGCCCTCAGACGCTGTTTCTTGCAAGATGTTGCCCGGGGGCTCCCGGGGGCTTAACAGGTTAAGAAACCATTTAGCATTAACAAAGGTATTTTATATTTTAAGTATTTACACCAGATGTAAATGTACAAACAACCTTGAAAGCTAAAAAACAAGAACACTAAGAACAATGAGTATATGGCAAACTACAGTGTATTATATTTTAAAGTGCAGCAAAGTGTTGATTTCATTTAAAATCATTTCTCCTGAACGCATAATATATTGATATATATGCAGAGGATGTTTGAGGAGCAGAGGAGCACATCTATAAAGGGGAACACTAACCATTTGTATTGCTAATTAATATATTAAAATGTATTTCAAACAAACCCATATTCAAACGCTGCTTCCTCAGTGAATTAACGAGTCCATATTCTGCCTCTCATTATTAATCAAGCCAGTATATAAGCTTATCTTGTTCCATCACTCATTTCCAGATCGGTCTAAACTTCAATCCAGATTTATTAAGTTATTCCTGTTCTCGCAAAAAAGATCTACATTCATGCGCTTCTCGAATAAAAGATAAGAAGAACTTTATTGATCCCAATTTGGGAAACGTTTGCGTTGCAGCAAAAAGACAAGGCTTTAGAGAAATGAAAAGACTAGGAATAAACAATCCAAAATGTAAACATCACAAATAGAAATAAATAGCATTAAAAAAGTAGAAAATAGACATGTTGAAACATACATCAGGTGTGTAAGTGTGACCCACACAGTGTGTGATCACAATGTTATGTTTATATTTAATATCATTTTAGAAACCTGTTTAACAATGGACAGCAGAGGGAAGTAGATGGCAGGGTAACACTGCCGTAAAGGGGTTTGTTGTGATTTGCGCCTGCCGTAAACGGACTGATGTGGAGACGGAGCTGCCGTTGGCTTGCCATTTTGGCAAGACCCGCGAAACGAGCAGCTAACAATTTGGTTGTTCATAATGTCTCCTGTTTTGTGTACATATTGTCACAAGTGTTATAAGAATCCACGGTAGTGTTGTGTCACGAGGTCCTAGTGTTTGAAGTGGTGTTTGGACGTTATTTATTGTCTTCAATGGTGCGTAGGAGACTGCCTCGTGGTTGCTGTGTGCGCGTGTGTAATGGCGGTTGCTATTTTAATGTAGCATAACTGAGCTCTTTGATCAACGTGAATGCAAGTAAATGTAATTGTTTACAGCTCCTGTACATTTTGTACTCACATATTTTCCGGTTTTATATCCTAAGTATTTTGTGTGTGTGTTTTGTATTATCTGTATGTGTTCTATGGTCAGAGTTAATACATAAATGCTTGTTGACTGCTAATGCTAGCACAGATTAGTTTCTGATGCGTTACCTGGGAAGGTATTTAAAAGGGTTTGATTACAAAATCAATATCTGAATAGAGAAATTCTTATTTTAAGTCATGGTGTTTATTTCAAATATATTGAAGACATGAATATATATAGACAAATGTTTACATTGAAGACAGAAAAGGGCATTAACAATTGAATAATACATTCTGGCAAGACCCGCCAAACGAGCAGCTAAGAATTTGGTTGTTAATCATTTCTCCTGTTTTGCAGGAGACTGCCTCGTGGTTGCTGTGTGCGCGTGTGTGTAATGGCGGTCGCTACTGAACGTGAATGCAAGTAAATGAATACTATCTGTCATCGCGCCCTGCATAGCGGGGCCTGTTACATAAGGAATGGAATATTAAATATTAAATGTTGTAAGTGCAGCCTTTACATGTTCATAATTTAACTGTAATGTGTATTTTCTAAGTGTACTAATTATTATTGTTGTAATGTTTCATGCGTGCAATATTTCGTCTTTTATTTTGAAGTCCAAGCTCACGTCTCGTTATGCTGTTCTCGCGTGAGTTAGAGAGCGAGAA